CTCTTAATGAATAGAGGGATTTGTTGTAATAGTGTTTGTAAATGGGATATCATGTCTGCATCTTGTACAGCAAATAACCACTAGGAAGAATGTATGTAATGTGTTAATTATTGAAACTGACCTACCAATTTGGTTTGAAACTGCCTCATTGCTATTTGTCTCTCAATAATATGGAATTAAAGAGAGAAAGAGAGAGAGAGAGAGAGAGAGAGAGAGAGAGAGAGAGAGAGAGAGAGAGAAGGCTGTGGAGGCCAACCGCGGCCCCTCGAGTCCCAGGCCTCTGCGCCGTCCACGTGCGTCCCGCTATGCCCACAAGGTGGCGCCGTAGTACAGGGGGAGGTGCCCGGGGCTCCCAGCCCTCCGCCTCCCTGCACCTCTGCAGCTGGGAAGCGCGGGTGATCACAGTTCCTGCTGCGGGGGAGGTTGAGATGAAGTCAGTTCCCACGTGTGAAGAGCCGGGAAAGGTGCCTGGGATAACATAAGTGTGCTTGCCCATCGCGGGGGCGAGCACCTGTTGTCCCAGCTGCTGCTCCGGAGGCCGAGGCAAAGGATTGAGAGTTACAGCCCAACCTGGGCAACTAAGGGGGACCCTGTATCAAAATGAAATAAAATAAAAACAAAAGGGGCTGGGGAGGGGGCTCAGCGCTCCTGGGTTTAGAGCCTAACACAGGTGGGAAGAAAAGAGAATCATGGTTTTCCTTTTTTTTCTTTTTGGTTTTCCCTTTTAAGAAGGAAATCGTTCTCCTTCCTCTTCCTCCCCTTCCCCTTTATTTCTAGAACTGGGGATCAAACCCAGGGTTCCTGCCCTGAGCTGTGGCCCCAGCTCTGTTTTGCTTTTTAGTTTAAGACAGGGGCTTGCTAAGTCACTGTTTCCTAGGCTGGGCTGGAACTTTCGAGCCTCCTGCCTCAGCCTCCCAAGAGAAGGGAGAGCAGAAAAGGAACACCTGATGCAGTCAGCACATGGACTGGTGGGCTTTGCTAGACGGGGTGTGGGGAAGTGCGGGCTCCGCCTTCACTTCCACGAGAAGGCGCTGGAAGCGCGCGGCACGCGGCCCTCTGTGACTCCTGGGTCCCTCGCATTGCCCCAGATCTGATACAAAGCACGTATGTTGGTTCATCGCAGCCCCGTCCCATCTGATCTGCAGGTGGAGGTGAGGGGTTGTGGTTTTGGGACTGCCTTTGGCTCCAGAACCCATGCCCTTGAGGACATGGCATATCTGACCCCTGCTTCCGCTGTTGCCTCTTGACTTATGAGAGAGAGAGAGAGAGAGAGAGAGAGAGAGAGAGAGAGAGAATGAATCAGAGAGCTCAGGACATGAGTCTGGGGTCAGGAAGCTCAGACCTGCTGCCACCTTGCTGTGTGAACTTGGACAAATGACCTCACCTCTCTGTGCCTCAGTTTCCTCACCTGTCAAGGTTGAGGAGCCATCAGCCTCAAGATACTATTGAAGGAGTGAAAGAGGTTGAGCACCTCTCATCAGAAAATCTGAAACCCTTCTAACGCCAAAAGGACACCACACGTTAAAATTCCACACGACAAAACTTGAGTTTCTGCCTCCCCCAAACTCAAAATATCATATCAGATTATCTTCCAGCGATGTGTGTAGGGGGTGGATGAAACACAAAGGAATTTTGCATTTAGCCTTGGGTCCTGTGTTCAAGACTTCTTATGTCCGTGAGAATATTTTAAAGTCCGAAAACAAATCGCAGGTCAGACGCATACCTGGCCCCAACAGACCTGATGAGGGTCATTCTCCCCTAACTGGGTGTAAAACCCTTAAAATATTGCCACATATGTAGCAAGCACTCTACCCCTTGCCTTTTTAATTTTTTTTTTTTTATTTTAGGGGTCTGCAGGGTATACAGGGTCTCACTATGTATATTGGACTCCTAGTGATCCGCCTGTTTACAGTCTCCCAAGTGCTGGGATTACAGGCGCGGGCCATGCCTAGTCTCAATCGCCATCTCAGCGCCCCCAGGAGAGGGGCTGACACATCAGGCCAGGGGATTGAATCCCTGGCCCCTGAGCCTGCTTCCAGGCACTTTAATCTGCTGAGCTATTTGGCCCTTGGCATTTATTTTTGAAAGTTAATTAAACAATGCTAAGGCATTTTTATTGTTTGCTATTACCTTCTCTCAGGAGCAGTTTGCATCTCCCCGTCTGTCTTGAGGGTCTTCATCCTTCTCTCTGTCTTCCCTGGGTCCCTGGCCCTGGCCAACCTGTCACCAGCTTCAATCAGCAAACAGAAGCCACCGGAACCCTGTCCCTCCTAGGGAGAGAGAGAAGGGGATGTTAGAAAAACAAAACATACAAAGCCAGGCAGTAGGGTGCGGGTCTGTAGACCGAGAGCTTTGCAAGGCTGAGGCAGGAGGATCAAGTTCAAACCCCGCCTAGACAGCTTGGTGACAGTGACACCCTATCTTAAAGTAAAAGCTAAAGAGGAGGTCAGAACAAAAGCTGGGAAGGGACCCCACAGGGCTGGGGGGCCTAGAGGCTGGGATTTTGCTTTGGGGGTGCAGCCCCCAAAGGAACCTGGGCAGGCACCGGCCAGTGCCTGTGGGTATTCAAATTCTACCTCTTGGGTCTCCTTTTAAAAGGACTTCTCAGAGCTTAACGACCTCGCTTGTTTGGATCACTTCCTCTACGACCTCCTCCTCTCTGTGGCTGTGTCTCTGTCTGTGGCTTTCACACCTCTTGCACACACGTAGCTGGCTCTTCTTTCTCCTTCTGTCATCTCTGTCACACTGGTGTCTCCATCTCTCTGTGTCTCTCAGCTCCTTCCTGCCGTCTTCTGGTCCCTCCTGGCCCTTGCTGGTCTCCTGACTGCCCTCTCTTGTTCACTGCCTTTCGCCACCCCGCCAGATGGGAGCAACACACAGTGTGACCTCCCCCACCACAGGGCCACGGACAGGGCTGCCCTCCCCATCCGGCCCTTTCCCCCTCCTTCAGCACCCAATCTGTCCCCCACGCTGGCCCCCACCCCAGAGCCCTGACAATGGAATTTAGTCATATCCCTGTCCAACCCTCCTGTGGTCAGAGCTGCTGGGCCCGGGAGGGGTGTGGGGAGCAAGACTGAGCCACAGACAGACAGACAGACAGACAGACAGACAGACAGACAGACAGTGGGAGAACTAGACAGATACCAAGGAAGACCAGAGACAGACACAGACGCAGACACAGACACAGACAGAGACAGAGACAGAGACATTTGTCACAGAGTCAGAGATGGGAGAGAGAAACAGAAGAGAGAGAGAGAGAGAGAGAGAGAGAGAGAGAGAGAGAGAGAGAGAGAGAAGTCAGGGTGGGGGCCAGAAAGAGAGGGGAAACGGAAAGGAGGACCCAGAGGGAGACAGACGGGAAGAGAGAGCCAGGGAAGGGCTAATTGCGGGAGGGAAAGAGAAGAAGGCTTTCAGCCCCCAGACTCCCCTGCGGCCGGGCCGCCTGTGGTCTACCGCTGCAGTCCGCTGGTGATGTCACCCCGCCCTACTCCAACCCAGCCCAGGTCTCCGACTTCGCTCCAGGGCCCCAGCCCCCACCTGGGCCGCGCTGAGCAGCGGGGCCAAACCTCGGCTGCCTGGGCCCCTGCTGTCCCCTCCCCCGCCGCAACCACTCTCCAGGCAGGATGCTTTAAAAAGTGAATGAGATCCTGTCATGTATCCCTCCCTGTACCCTTGAGCTTTAAATCCGCTGCACATAAAAACAATGAAGTCCTTCACACACACACACACACACACACACACACACACACACACACACACACGCGCGCACACCATTGAGAGACCCAGCTCTGTCCTTAGGCAGTGTGCTGGTACCTGAAGCTGTCTTGTGCTTCCTAACTGAGGGGACTTTGCTTGTGCCTCACTTGTCCTGGCCTGACCTAGAGCTTGGAGTGTGACAGGTGAGCTAGCAAGGGCTCACAGCACCAAGCACTTGCCGGGTGCTTCACTTTCTGAGTGGGAACCAAACCATGGTTTCCTAGATCCTATAGATGGGAAACGGAGGCTCCCAGGGTTACTGTCACCTAGCCAAGTTTCTGAAGGAAGGAAGGAAGTGCTCTGTGCAGGCTGGCTTGGGCTTTGCATCTTTTGCATTCAGGGATGCATAGAGGATGCACAGGAAGGGAAGAGAATAGGAGAGGGGAAGCTGGAGGGGAGAAGGAAAAGGAGAGGGAGGTGGATGCAATGAAAGAGAAAATGCCAAAAGACAGAAGACTCCAAAAGAGAATGAAAGAGGACAAGAGCAAGAAAAAAAGAGAAAGAGACAAGGGAAATAGAGAGGAAGAGAATGGAAGATGCAAGGGGGTGCGCCCCGGGGTCCCCTCCCTGGGTCCCTGGTTCCAGCCCCTCTTGGTCCCTGCCCTCCTCCTGGCTTGGCAGCCTCCCAGGAGATTGGCACTGGCAGATTGCAGCACCCCCCCTTGGAATGTGCCCCTGGGGGGCAGGCCAGCCCAGACTGAGGGCTTATAAACCCTTGGGGCCCTGCAGGAGGTAACTCCGCACAGCTGAGCCTGTGGCAGAGTCCAGAAGCCAGGAGGCAGCCAGGTAAGCAGTGCAGGGGCCCCACCCAAAAGCTCAGCTCTGTGTCACCGCGATCCTTGCCTGGGGGACCTGTCTCCTTGTTCCTTGTCTAGTAGGTGCCCCCATCCCTGGTTAGAGCTACATCTGCAGCTCTCTGAGGGCCTCTTTCTGGAGTCCCTGCTCTTGGCCTCTCTTGTACCTGACCTCTCAAGTCCTGCTTCTTCTTGGGCCTTCATCTGTCCCTAAAGGTCCACACCTGCATCTCTTTCCTGTCACAGATGGTTGGCTTTTCTCTGACTCCTCCTCTCCACCAGCTCTCTACCTCTGAGGGATGGGGTGCTGGATGGTGGAGGATCCTACAGCTCCTACAATATCCCAGGGAAGGAAGGAAAAAAAGAGGGGTGGGGAAGGGTGGAAAAGCTTGGGTTGAGAGCCCCCTTCTGTGCAAATTGACTTAAGTCTCCACCTCCCCAGGTCCTGGGATGATGGTCACAGCAGGAAACCCTTGGAGCTGGATCCTGGGTTACCTCGTCCTTGGAGTCACAGGTATCTCTGTGTGCATGTGTGACATATTGTGGTAATGCATGTGACACTAGGACAAGGTCTCCCGCTGAGGCTGTTCACATGTGACTCCTCCTTGATCTGCTTGTGTGTGTGGCAGGTTGTGTGACTGTCCCAGAAAGAAAACACTGGGTGTTCTTGAAGGCCCAGCTCTGACAATGCGTGGCCCGGAGTACCTCCAAAGTGACCGGGTGAAAGATGCAGAGGGGAGGGGCTGGGGACTGCTAGAAAGGACAGCGATGCTCCCCAGGTTGCCAGTCTATGGACCCCTGAAATCTAACACTTTGTGTGTGTGTGTGTGTGTGTGTGTGTCTGTCTGTCTGTCTGTCTGTCTGTCTGTCTGTCTGTTAGGCCATCCTGGGTGTGGTGATTGGCTAGGAGGTCACATGCCAAAGGGCAGAAGTTCCAGACTTTAACCCACTCCAATCAACCTGTGTTGACCCTGGAGACCAGAACTATGCTTAGCCCTAACTATACCTTTTCAGGAGTTGGCTGGAGGGCCTCCTGGGGAGCATCACTGTCCTTTCTAGCAGTCCCCAACTCCTGAACCCCTCCCTGAAGCCCAGTCAGCACCCACAAGGCTGACCCCACCTCCAAACTGCAGACCCCAACTCTGAAGCCCTGCCCACGGCCCCAGTCGCCATGACCTCACACCCACTTGCATCGTGAGCGTAAGCCTAGCCAAGGTTACACTCCAGCAGGTCCTGCTCCTGTCCCCAAAGCCTTGCTGCATCTTCAAAACCCTTACCACACCCAGGCCTTGATCCTGCCCCAGAAGCCCTGGCCACGCCCCACGCTGTAGCCCCACCCCCGGGAGCGACGGTCACTCCCACAGGCCAGCCCTCATCCCTGGCTCTGCCCCTAGGCTCCTCCTACCCAGGCGCTCACATCATCAATGGCGAGGACTGCACCCCACACTCGCAGCCCTGGCAGGCAGCACTGCTCGTGGACAACGAACTGTTCTGCTCCGGAGCACTGGTGCATCCTCAGTGGGTGCTGTCAGCCGCGCATTGCTTGCTAGAGTGAGTGTGGGCACAGGCCCAGATGGGATTCAGGGACTGTGTGGGCTGCGGTGGTGGGAAGGGGTCTCCAGCCCTCTGACCGAGGTCCCAGGGATCTGAAGTCGTAGATCCACTCTTAGCAAGGGAGCACGGGGATGCCAGCACCTGGTTGGAACCCTGCAGGGCAGCAGGCCTCACCTGCCCTCGGTCCTCAGCTCCTACAGTGTGGGCCTGGGTCTGCACAGCCTGGAAACCAGCCAGGAGCCAGGCAGCCGCGTCCTGGAGCCCCTGCTGTCCATCCAGCACCCGGAGTACGACAACCCCTCTTTCGCCAACGATATCATGCTCATCAAGCTGAAGGAGGCTGTGCCCGAGTCCAGCACCATCCGCACCATCAGCGTGGCTTCCAGGTGCCCCGTTGCTGGGGAGGAGTGCCTGGTCTCTGGCTGGGGTCGGCTGGCCAGCGGTGAGTCCGCGGGGGCCTGCGTACTTTCTGCCCCTGCTGCAGGGCGGCACACCCTGCGGGCCACTGACCCCTTTTGTACCCAGGTGGACTGCCCAGTCGGCTTCAGTGCGTGAACATCTCCGTGGTACCCCAGGAGGTCTGCAGCGAGGTCTACGACTCCTTGTACCACTACAGCATGTTCTGTGCGGGCGGAGGACAGAGCCGCAGGGACTCGTGCCACGTGAGTCGGGACATGGACCAGTAGTACAGGGAACAAAGGGACGCAGTGAGAACCAGAATAGGGAGGCAGAGGACAGGTGAGAAGACACAGAAAAGACAGAGGGGTAAAGAGATAGAGACACAGAGGCAAGGAGAGAGACAGACGGACTCACAGACACAGAGACTGAGACACATAGAGAGACACCTACACAGAGAGACAGAGAGATGGAGATCCCTGGGAGAACCACCGGATGTGGTCAAAACACAGTGAACAGTCAAATTTCTATAAATTATTGCAGTAAAGAACACATTGCCTGAATCCTCCTCAGAATGTCCCCACCCTTCCAATGCTCTTATCTCAAGTTCTTGTCACCTTCTGAAGCAGCTCTGGAGTCCTCTTTCCTGACTATCTTTAGTGACACAGTCATGGCTGCCCAGATGTCCCAAAGCAGTTTGCAACAATTACCTTCCTGGTCACTTTGATGGCAGAGAAGAGGCAGAAGTCTCTCAGGAAAGATCAGGGGCGTAGGGTGGATGGGGACACACTGTCCTGTTTCAGGAGTCTGCTTTCTGTTTGATGACACTCAGCAGCAACATTCACCAAGTTTTTGATCACCTTGAGTACTCGGAGACACCCAGAGGCAAAGGAGGGACACACAGAACCCAAGAACAAGCCCAAAGGAAGCCACAGCTGTAAGGGTGCAGGGGAGCAGGGCCACAGAGGTCAGGGTCTGGCCTGGGATGACAGTGGTGTTGAAGGTTTCCTCATTGGCTCCTCTCTGACCCCCATTTGCTACCTCTCAGTGATTTTGGATTTGTATTCTCTCTCTGCAAAACAGGGTGACTCTGGAGGACCCCTGATTTGCAACAGGTCCCTACAGGGCCTCGTGTCTTTAGGCCACATCCCATGTGGTCAACCCAGTACACCAAGCGTCTACACCAACCTCTGCAAATTCACTGACTGGATCCAGCGAACCATCTATACCAGTTAGCAGCCGGGACTGGGACGAGTGACCCCACAGCTACACGGAACCTGTGGGAGGAATTCAGGACTCTGGCTTCTAGACCCTTCTCACTGGAGAAAGACTCTCAGGTCATTTCTCCCTCATACCCAGTGGGGCAGGGCCCACTACTTCCTCAGACACAGAGGCCCGGACCTGGCATCCTACCTCAGACTTGGGGTCTGGGTCTAGCCTACCCCCTCACACTTTGGGTCTAGGTTGGACCTCACCTCACAGAACCAAAAGCTCAATCCCTCTTACAATTCTTTCCTTCACACTGCACCTTCTAGTGTCATAATCTTTACTCAGCTCTTTGTTCTCTAGAACAAAGATCCAGGCAAGATCCAGAAATAAAGTATAAGAAAAACACAACCTTTGCTCAGAGTGCCATCATTGCTTTCCTTCCCATTCAAGGTTGCCTGGAAAATAGCACTTCCTCCTAGGACCTGCTTTTCCTGTCCAGGAAATAGGAGCTTCCCACAAGAGGCTACAGACTGTAGAGGGAGCTGTTCCTCCCTGGAAGGTCAAGAGAAGCCAGCTCTATACATGCCATCCAGTTTCTGAAGTCAAGTCAGGAAGTGCTGAAGGTGTGGGACTTTCTTTCTGAGGTTAACTACTCAGCACTGGAGGAGTTATTTCCATTGTTGTCCCGTTGGCTCAATTTTAGCAATGTTCAGTCCTTCTTTGCTTCAGGACCCTGGTGCTGTAGGTGGAGAATGGAGACAGAGGGTTATAGACAGTATCATGAAAGAGAAGGGGCTTCCAGGCTCAGAGACAGAGGAGACCCAGGGTTCATGAATAGTAGGAATGCTATAGGATTCTTCACTATAAAGAGTGTACCCATGAGAATTCATATGCAAGAGTAAGCTTAGTATTTGTGAATCTGTGTATAAGGAGATAGTCCAATTTTTATGTATGCTTTTAACAGATGCCCAAAATATGAAGAGGTAAAATACCTAAAAGTAAACTCAACAAATTCTGTCTCATAAAAAGTGATTTTTAGAGAGGCCAATAGAAAAAAATAGAACAAACAAGATAAACATGCATAGAAGGACTCAAGATGGATCTCGGGTAGACCAGTTGCCTGTAGGGAGGAGGCCTGGGCACCATTGCCAGCACCAAAGAGGGAGAAGAAGGGAGAGGGAAAGATAAAAAAAAACACTAATGATTTGGGAATGCATAATGCTTGGTAGTTTGTGGGTGTTTATGGAATTATGCCTGGAGAATATAGAATTTGTTCAAAATGCATACAAAGGACCAGGGTGGCTGCAAATAAGATGGACAGCAGCAAACACTGGTTAAACAATGTGATGAAAATATGGTGTGCTTCCATTAAAAATTTTAAACAGTGCCACTACACCTCTTCAGAAGACTCACCCTTCTTTGAGCACATTTGTCCCATCTGAATTGCTATCTTTAAAGCACTTCTGGAGTCCTCTTTCGTGGGTGTATTTTTATGACTGCCTCAATCTCTATAGCAATTTCTCTCATCAAAGACATCATGTTGTCCTCATCTGCCTCATTCACCAATCTGGAACTGTGCACCTTCTGGCTCTTTCTCAAAGTCAAAAGAAATCATGAAAATAAATGCTGTGAAGCAATTCAGGACATCGGGGCAGCCACAATAGGACAACTAAACAAGGCCGGGGGGACAATTTGGAGGACAACTGACAACACGCTGTCTTTCATGGTAAGAAAATTTAAGCAGTCAATGTATGTTTTGTTCATACCTCATATATAGGGCTGCAAGCACTCTCGTGGGTTGCTGGAGGGTGCACAGTAATTGGTACAATGATTTTCGAAAAGTGTGGCATACTCTGACAAAAATAAACATATGTCATCCTTGTGATGAGTGATTTCGCTTACGTGTACTTATTTGGGTGTGATAAAAAAAAAACCCCATCAAGGCTTGGCTCAAAATGTTCATAGTGGCTTTATGTATCATAATGAAGTTGGAAACAAAACAAGTGTCCACTCCCTGGGTGAATGGATAAGGGAATGAAAAGAAGTGTCCTACCGGCATGGGCAGCAAAGCAGATGCAGCCGAAGGCCTTCACACTCTGGAAGAAATCAGACACAAACTATCATGCACTGCACAATTCCATTTGTAGGAAATTATAGAAAAGGCAAAACAAACCAGCATTGCCTCCTTGCTGGAATGGGGTGGGGTGGTGAAGTAGTTATAGAGAGAGCTGCCGAGAGGTTTGCGGGAAATTTCTGGGCTGATTGGAATTGCCTAGCACTTTACAGGAATGCTGGTGTAGGTGTTTGTCAAAATGCATTGAAATGTCCTCCTGAAACCCACACTGTGTGTTCCTCCACACAAATTATACCTCCGTTTAGCAACCACAGATGGCCTTTATAAAAATGAGCCTCGTATTGAGAGAAGCTATGAAACAAGTTGCAACAAAATTGAAGTTATGGTAGAGAGACTAGGTTGTCTGACCACAGTGCAATTAAGCTGCAAAACATGACAAAATGATAGCCACACCATTACGGCTGTGTGCTTTAATTTTAAAGGAATACTTCTAAAGACCCACATGTCAAGCAAGAAACACAATGGAAATTAGAAAATACTTCGAACCTACCTGGTGTTAAAGACAGCACAGCACGCATTTGTCGTATGTACCCAGGATAGTATTTGGAGAGAAACACAGGGCCATCCACACATATATCAGGAAAGAAAAAGAAGTGAGAATTCATTAGTGGTTCAGACATTTCTGAAATAAGAGGACTGACAGCAAAATAAAGTCTAAAAGGAGAAAGTATAAAAAGACAATGAGAAAAATTAACTGCATGGAAAAAAGATGTGCGCTGGAACACATTGCCAAGGAAAAATGTTTCTTCCCTAATGGATCAGTATGATTGTGAAGCTACCCAAAATTTTAAGTGAGAATGATAAAGAAATAAAGGAAGACACAGAGAACCAGGAAAATTGTGGTTTAGGTCCCAAAAGTCTCTCAACATCTTCAGGGTTCCATGATGGGCCTTATACTGCAGTGGGCAGAAGAGACACCAGGGGGAGGTCCAGGCCCAAGAGGTAGGCATCACGCCCCAGCAAAGATCAAGATAAGGCAGGCTGACAAAACCTAGGATGAAGATGGAGGCACAATGGCTATGCCAGGGATCTGAAGATGTGATACACAGTGCTAAACACTGGTGGTACCTGCTGGCCCACTGTGCACAAGTATGTGCTGATCTAGAGCACAGAAAACCAGAGCCACCAAGCCTCTCTACTCGACCCCTTCTGATGACTTTCTTTGTTCTACTTGTCCTGATATTTTGAGAAAAATCTACAATTGATGGTTCTTATAAAAAGACATCTGTTACGTTCCCTCAGTTTCCTGTTTTATTCTTTTTCTTTGTGTCTGGGTTCTTGATTTGGAGACAGGGTCTCACCACGATATTCAGGCTGGCTCTGAACTCATGGCAATTGTCCAGTATAGTCCCCGTCATGGCAACACATTGTAAAATTTAGTAAAATTGTACGATGTGTTTAAAAATATAGTTCAGCAAAACTGACTCAAGAAGAAGCAAAAAAAAAAAAAAAAAAAAAAAAAAAAAAAAAAAATCTAGTAGTCCTGTATAGCCATCTCCCACATCTCACTTGTTTGTTGGTTTTGTCACTGTCATCTTGTGCCCAAGGGTGTTAGTTTATAAAGTAGAAAGGCTTATTTTGTCCACAGTTTTGAGGGTTCAGATCCAAGATTAGCCAAACTGTTGCTCTGGGCCTCTGGTAGGCATGCTGGATGGTAGTGGCAGGAAGCACAGGACTGAAAAACCTCCTCCTCTCAAGGCCTAAAAACAAAAGGCACACAAAAAGGGGTTGAGGGCTGGTGAGATGGCTCAGTGGTCTAAAGCACCTACTTAGAACAAGCTTAGCAAAGCACAGAGACCGCGGTTCAATCCCCCAGCACCACATGCCAGCCAGCCCCGCCCCCTGGTGGGCTGAGATGGCCACACACAATAAATAAATAAATAAATAAATAAATAAATAAATAAATAAATACGGGGTTGAATCTTCTAGTTCCCTTCACTGGCAGCCCAGGACCTGAAGTTCTACTCTATCACAGCCCAATAGCGCCACCTGGGGCCCAGTCCATTAACACAGATACTTTTGGTGGACAGTTTTGGTTTCTTTTCTCTGGGCTGAAACAAATTAGCTGACGCCCACAAGTGAAGGGAGGAATGGTTTGCAGAGGTATCAGTCCATGATAGACTGACTGTAAAGCATGCTGCCACTGCAGAAAGGTATTAGAGAAAGAGAACAGCCCAAGGTGGGAGAAAGTAACAGTGCAACAAGGGGCGAGCACAGCCCTTTCTATTTGTTATCTCTTACGGAGTCTACCGATGGCAGGTTGCGTTCACATGCTTCATCCTAGTGCCCTCAATCCTAGCATTGCAGCATGAATCAATTTGAGCATCACACATGGTGATCCCTATACACACCAAAAGAAACAGTAAAAAAAAAATCCAACATTCAAGGCAATAGATAGAAAGTTCCATTGCAAAAGTGAAAAACAGGGGCATTGCAAGGAAGGGAACAAAAGCAGCACCGAAATCAAGGAAGGAAAACATTAAATTCCACAGTACCCCTACCTGCATCCCTGACAATCTGTGGCAAGTTGGGAACTCCTGAGGGCTTGGGCAGCTCTGTCCCCATGGCCCTTCTGGAGGTCATAGCTCCCATGGTTTCTTTCCTTGGCTCCTTATGGCATTCTGTGGGATGATCCACACTCACGGCTTCTCTAGCCTTCTGGGATCACCACTGTACCTTTACTTTCACACTCACAGGTTAACACACAACAGTCTCAGGGGCACACTGGCAGGCCCCCCAGAACTTCTTCTGGCACTGGGGTGGAAGTCTTCCTGACTACAATTCTCCTCCATTCTGCATGGACCAAAGCAGCACCAAGAAGATGTCACTAGTGCCTGATGTCAGGTGGAGCAGTGCCAGGCTTCCATCTCTCTGGGTCATAGGGTTCCCCTAT